TGCCACCTTATCTGGAAGGATTTCCAAGGTCATCTTGTAAAGAATACCACCATCCTCATCTTCCCACTTGGTAGTACTTCTTATTTTTCTTCCTTGAGTCTATATTTCTTCAAAACGATCACCACCAACTGACATCTTGCACAAGTATTAGCTTATTGTCAGTTTCTGCCAACTAAAATGCAAGCTCCATGAAGGTGGGGTCTTTGTTTTCTGCTACAACACTGGCACATAGTACAGTGCCTAGAAAGTAGTTGAAACTCAATAAATATCTATTTGTCAAATGAAAGACTAAATTTGAAAACAATTTCTTCTGTACGTCTAGCTATCTATCTGTCAGATTGTTACATTTTGCATGCTGTACTGATTTGGGATTCCAATATAAAAGTGGAGAGGAAACAAGAACATTTCTGGATACCTACAACTTAACTTTATTTGTACAATGTCTAACTTAAAACAGGGCAATAATCTAGGATATTGTGAAAAATACAGATTTTAAAGAAATCCAATAAAGTATTTTCAGAGATGGAAAAAATACATGCAAGCATGTTAATTGGAAATAACCATACAAATACAGAAAATAGCTTAGAAAAATAAAAGAAATCAATTAAGGTACATTTTAGCCTTGATAGGGTAGGAGCTATAAGAGGAAAAAAGAATTTAGCTTAAATACAGTATCTGATCTGAGAGTGTTCTTATACAGAAGACAACATAGTACAGGAAAAAGCTTGAGTTTCTTCCATAAGCTACAGTACAGCATAGTGGTTATAATGTATTCTGTTCTTTGGATTTAAGCATATCTGAATTTGCATCTAACTCACCCTCTTAATGAGCAGAACTTTGAAGTGTTATTTAACTTCTCTAGACCTCAAATTGTTGATCTGTAAAATTGGATTAGAGAATAGCTATGGAATATAATGGTTATAAGAATCAAATGAGACTATAAAAATCAATAAATTAATATGTTATATGGCAGATATTTAGAGCTCAAAACAGTATGGAATGGTACTAGTAAAATTCAACTGATTGCAATATGTTTTATCATTAAAATAAATTTTAAAAGCTTTTAAAAATGGTAATTATGGAAAACAATCTACAATTTATCAAAATCATGTTTGTGGTTGATCATCTGCTGAGGTTTTCTAATACTGGAGATACTTTTTGAGAGGTGAATATTTTCTGTTTATCAGTCCTATCGATTCTCTGTACATGTTCCACGTAAACTGAAATTCTGTTCTGTGTTATTCTCCTACAACAGTAACTATAGACAGTCTACTCTGTTGTCCGAAACAAGTCAGTTTTAGTATGTAAAGTGTCTGCCCATACACCCAAGTATGTGTAACTCAAAATATTAATTTTAACATTAAGATTTAAGAAAGAGGATTGTGACCAAACTTTTGATTATCTAAAGGGTCAGGAGTGAGAAGAGAGTAAAATAGGTGATTAGATCAGAGACTTATCAGATAGAGCTGAATCTGTCTATTGTCATAATCATCACTAATGATGCTGACCTCCCAGGATCCCTGGTTTTGCCCCATGTAAACCCTTGGAAATTAGATCATAACAACATATCAATACCAGTTCCTTTGGAGCTCCAGTTTATGCAACTTTTCACATTTGGTGCAGTTCTAACTCCATAAACTTCCTCATTTTAATTCCAAATCAAATATTCACTGAATATTTCACTTACTCTTTGCCAATAACTGAGTTATGTGATGCCAAAATGGGGTGAGGGTTAGTTAGGTACAAATAAATAAGTACACATCTCTTTAGATAAGAACTCTAAACTGGAGGGAAAGAGAGTATAAAACATGCCATACACGGGGGGAAAGAAACCCTACCCAATAAATGGAGCTGGGACAATTGGATAATCATGTAGAAGACTGAACAGGATCGGCACCTCTCACCACTCACAAAAGTTAATTCACAATGGATAACAGACTTAAACTTAGGGCACAAAACTATAAGAATTCTAGAATAAAATGTTGGAAAAACTCTTATGGAAATAGTCCTAGGCAAGGAATTTATGAAGAAGACCCCCCAAAGGCAATCACAGCTACAACAAACATTAATGAATGGGATGTGATTATATTAAAAAGCTTCTGCACAGACAATGAAACAAGAGAGCAAATAGACCTACAGAATGGGGGAAAATAAATATTTCCATGTTATATACATCTGAGAAAGAGCCAATAACCAGAATTGGCAAAGAGCTCATGCAGATAAGCATGAAAAAAAAAATCAAATAACTACATTAAAAAAAGTGGGCAAAAACATGTACAGAAGCTTTTCACAGTAAGATAGATCAATGGCCAATAAACATGAAAAAATTCTCAATATATCTAATCATTACAGAAAGGCAAGTCAAAATCACAATGAGATATCACCTAACCCCAGTGAGAATGGCTTTTATCAAAAAGTCCTAAGACAAAAGATACTGGCATGGAGGCAGAGAGAAAGGAACACTTATACACTGCTGGTGAAACTGCAAACGAGTACAACCTCTGAGGAAAGTAGTACGTGGGTCCTTATAAAAGTGCATAAAATTGAAAAATACACATACACAAATATCAAAAAGCTTAAAATCTGTGTGCACAGAAACAAAGGAAGCCCTCCCAGCCACAAAGATAAGCCAAACAAGTTGAAGCCAAACTTGCAGGGATGAATCAGAAAGGACGCTGCTGACTGTGTTCCTTGGAAGTGAAATAATGGACCATAACACAGCCTGTCTCAAAACCTTTGTAGTGCCTCACATATGGAGGTACCTCAAAGAGCTAAACATGGACCTACCACTTGATTCCGCAGTCCCACTACTGGGTATTCACCCTAAGGGAGGAAAAAGCCATTTTATCAGAAAGACACTTGCATTAGAATGTGTTGCATTAGCAGCACAATTGTCAAGGAAAAAGATGTAGAGTTAACTTGAGTACCCATCGATAAGCGAGTGTATTAATCAAACGTGGTACATGTATACTATGGAGTACTACTCAGCCATTAAAAATGGTGAATATCTTTTGTAACAATTCAGATGGAACTGGAGACCATTCTTCTAATTGAATGTATGAATGGAAAAAGAACCATCCCACTATTATGTTGAAACTATTTAGTGCTCATGTGCACATATGGTGGTAAAACTCAATGGAAATCAAGCAGGCGGGGTGGGGAGGGAATGGGTAGATTCACACCTAACAAGGACAATGCATGCTAGTGGGAGATGGGCACACTTAAAATTTTGACTCTAAATGTACAAAAGCAATTTATGTAACCAAAATTTCATGCTCCCATATTCTGAAATTTACAAAAAGAAAACATGTCATAATGCCAAATGTTTTACTTATGCTTTACAAGTTATCCAAAACACCATCATTTTCAACAATGCTAAATTCCTTTGAGGCCATATGAGAAATTTTGACAGGGCAAAACAGAGCTACATTTCAGGAGGCTAGTTAACCAATTTACTCTCAGTGTGGCTATCAGTTTATTACTGAAGCATAATGTGTGTATGTGTTAGGGGGAGGAGGAAGGAGGAGATGGGCAGGTGGGAGATGGGCAATAGGATAGAGAAGATAGGAAAGAAGGAAGGAGAAATAGAGCTAGAATTCTTCCAACAGTGCAGAAGGCTATTCTGTTTCATCTTTGTATTTTGTAGACTTGACATAACTGTACTTTCTATTACTCTTGTAATACCATGATAATGTACAGACACTGTTTTTAGTTTCTCTTATACACTTTCCTATTTCCTCCAGTTTATTTAGAAATTTGTTCTGTTAATTTTAGTTCATACAAAACATACTTTAGATGTTTATTTTCAGAGTGGAAGGCATAGTTCCTTCTCCACAATCACATGTTCATATATAGATTTTATTGCATTTTCCCTCCGTTATCATGAGAGAAAGTATAGTTGGTTCTCCATACCCACTGGCTCCACATCCAGGGATTTAACCAACCACGGATCAAAAATATTAACACAATAATACAAAAAGTAGAACTTTTAAAATATAGTATAAGAACAATTTATCCAGCATTTATGATGCATTAGGTATTGTAAGTAATGTAGAGATAATTTAAGAATACAAGAAGGTGTTGGTAGGTTACATGTAAATACGCCACTTTTTATAAGGAACTTGAGTATGTGGGGATTTTAGTATGTGTCAGGGCCTGAAACCAATCACCTGTCGATACTGAGGGACAAATGCATAGGATTTTAAATAGATGCATCTTACTGGCACAATGTGAATGTTACCCGATTTCTGCTTAATTTTCAAAGTAGAAATTGCTGGTCCTTCTTTACTGACTTTGATTAGATACCATGTTTCCCCAAAAATAAGACACTGTCTTATTTTTATTTTTTCTCAAGAAGATACACTAGGGCTTATTTTCAGGGGATGTCTTATTTTTAGTAAATAGAATACAACAATCTACATTTATTCAAATACACTTAATTCATCTTCTTCTGGAACCTGACAGAGGGAGCCAACCTTGTTGGTGGAGCTGGCGCTAGTGATGCATGAACTCCTTTCCCCTAGCCATTTGCATGTGCGCAATAGGATGCCTGCAACCTGGGTTACCACATGCACACTTGCGCAACTGCAAATGGCTGGGAGAAAGGAGCTGTGGCAGATAACAGGTATTCCAGTCTTCCTCACCGCTCTGCACCAAAATGCATGGTGTGGCTATGCAGATACACTACATAGCCACGCCCATCACTAGGTCTTATTATTAGTGTAGGGCTTATATTTAACAAATGCATAGAAATCCTGCTAGGGCTTATTTTGGGGGTAGGTTTTATTTTGGGGGAAACACAGTACTCATATCTATTTCCATCACTTCCAAAGTACAAAGAAAAATGCACCGATCTTTTCTTAGGAAGTCCTTGTTTCAAGGATTAGGGTGCTTTTAACCCCCAAACTCCAAAATATGAAGTCCTATTCTTCTCTTCCAATCACTACTTCTAAACAAAGAATGTGAGCACTTAGAAAATCCCACCTGGACACAGCTCTTACCTGCATCTCTTCACAAAAGGAAGCCAGCGGCCCAAAGAGGATCTGACACTGCTCGTCAGCGGTGTACGTCATCCCTGGCAGCTTGGAGGGAACCATCACAGAATTGACACTCTGAGGATTTGTTTGTAGCAAACAGTTACTGGCCTTGGACCTGACAATATGCAGATATGTGTAAAATTTTGAATTTAATGTATAAACCTGAAGGTATCACAATAAGAAACATTTTTATAATATCAAAAACATAGCTTTACTTCTACGCTCTTCTAAGTGAATGTCCACTTATATATGAAAATCATTTGTTTAAAATTATTTAAGAGAGAATAAATAAAAATAATGTTCAAGTTAATAGAACATTTTCGCTTATAAAGCAGGTACATATAGATTATCTCAGCTAATCTACGCAACAATGTAAGTACAATTTTACACACTCCTAAAAATAGAAGCTCAGACTCAGAGACTAACTTGCCGAAAGCCATGTGTGAATGTAAGAAATCAGCTTTCCTTGGGGATTTAAAGAAGGTAAGCAAAACATTCTCAATGTCACCTAATGGGTAGAATGTAGGGGTATATGGGAAACCTCCTAGGTGAGGGGCACAACTACAACAGGGACCTTGCCTAACAAACGCAAACATTGTAACCTAATCATTTGTACCCTCATAGTAAATTCAAATTTTAAAAAAATTCTCAATTTAGTATTAAAGGTGCAGATATTTTGACATTGTAATACAACTTTACATTGCTTATATTCCTTGTGCTGCTCTATAATAAAGTCACAATGGATTTGATTAGATCCTGATTCATACAAAGTCATACAAAAGCATGCGTGCTCCTTAGGAACTAATCAGGGACGATGGTAGAGCTACTCATGCTGCTACTCATGGTGCATTCAAAGTATTACACGCCCTGAGTGCTGTTCTCTGTTATAAGAACCTATTACACATACTTCAGAACAGGGTTTTGGTAATGCAATAAATACCATGCTCTATAAATTTTGATGTACATTTAATAGAATATATAGGCTTAACTATGTAAAGTGTGTGACTAGATGAATGAAGTTCATCTTAGTAGTGAATTTTGCTAACTCAGGGTACCTACATTTCCTATTTTGATCTGTTTTAGATACCTTAAACATCTAGCTAACTTTCCACATCACCCACTGCTTCAGCAGCTCTTTCTATTATCAAAGGAATAAATAAAAAACAAGGGCTTGCAGATGCAAATGAGAACACTAGGACGATTTTTCACTTTTTTCAACTGGACAGAAACTAAGTGTTTCTCTCATTGAGCATGAGAGAATCAATCACTATTATAATGGTGTAATCAATTTATTAAGGAAAATGTTTGAAAGTGTAAATGAAAAGATAGAGATTTTACTAGAGGGGCTCTTTGTGATAAGAACAGTGAGGATATTTCTACCAGGAAACACTTGAAAGGCAATTAGACACCGGGACAGATATTTTTTATCATTATAACAATTCTTTAATCTTACAGATCATCTTGACTATTCTTTTATTTGAAAATGTAGAAACTAAAAAGCAAATAATTCATCTCAATCACATCATGAGTCAGTGGAAGAGCCAGGATTAGAATTCAGTGTACAATTTCTAGTCTGGTGGCCTTCCTATTTGGCCACACTGCCTTCCCTGAGGGGACAAGGGTACAGGATTCAGGCACATGTAAACATTCTCAGTGCAACAACGACAAGCGACCTTAATACCTGAGAAATCTCTCCAAATCTTCCTTGCTACATCGAGACCATGAAACATCACCAAGATTTTGTCCTTTAATCCATTCACCAGACATGATGTGGAGACCATCAGCACATGATGGGTGGTCATTGTCATGATTAATGCCCATGCTAATTTTGAATATAATTAAAATTAAAAATTACGTTAAGAAATGTTACTTTTTAACTTTTCATAGCTTCAGGTAAATAACAGTTAAAATGCCTAAAATAGTGGGAGAGAAATGTGTTTTAAAGAGATAGGTTTCAAAACAAAATTAGATTTTAACTTATTTTTAAAATTGCTTTTATTTACTAAAAAGCATTTCCCAAATCCACCTACAAAATGGCATGTTCAGGTCACCTATATTGCATCACCTATAGATATTTTTTTTGCATAGTAGCATGTATGAAACTCAGCAACAGCAAACTTCTACTCAACGGCACTAGATTCTTACTATGTCTGAATCAAATTTTCTTCAAAATCTGAACTGAAACCACATTCAACTATTAATCTCCTATTATATCTTCACCATCTATTCATTAGACCATCTTTTCCCACCTACCTCATATAACACAAACTGTCCTGTGAAGCCATCTACATTCTTGGACTTCTTCATCTTTTCTAGTGAATCCTGAATCTGTTAAAACTATTCTAAAAATCTGACTTATTTCAACTCTATCCAAATTAATACAAAAGATGTAAAGTTGAAATACATTCTTCTTGGTAAAGCATCATAAGTATGGAGAAGCAAGAATCCAACGTACTCAATTCTGATAGGAGCACAATTGATGCTGGTCCACGGTGGAAGCAGGGGGCAAGGGGGGAGGGGAAACAGGGAAGGAGGGAGGGGTGTGTGGGGCTGTGCTGTGTGACACACCTCTTAGGGACGAGACGCTGTTAATTGAGGGCCTTCACCCAGCAAACACAAGCAGTGTAAGCTGGCTCATTGTACCCTCAATGATTCCTCAACAATAACATAATCAATAATAAACCTGACTTATTTCTAAATGGGCATTCTAGAATACCTTAAATTCAATATATCTGAAGTCAGCCCATCTGACTTCTTCTATTAAGCCTCTCTTTCTCCTGTGCTCTCTTGCTCTTCTTTACAAGCAATTGTTAGCCATTACGTTGCCAAATAAAGAAATCTTCAGGTCATTAGTTATTTTTTCCTCTCCTGAATTAATCACCTGATCTTTTCTATTTACTAAGTGTTGGGCAAAAATCCTCCTTTCTAAATATTTCTTGTAACTGTCATCTCCCTTTCATTCCTACTGTTACTAGTTAAGATGATTGTATAATGTTCTTATTCCAGTAAACAGAGAGTCATGACAATTATTGTGCTCTCTAATCGTCACCAGCATTTCCCCTCCCCTTCCTCCTCCCCTCCCTGGGGAGCTACAGTTAAAACACAAGGTGACTTTGCACTCCTCTGTTTTCTCATTACCTATGGGGCAATTTACGGCTCTTTAACTTGATACATAGCCTTTGCATCTTCTTCCATATCATTTGTTGTATTTTCTTTTCATCAATCCTAAAGACTTGTAGCTTCCCAAACATTATGCTGTTCCTTATTTTCTTTCCTCAATTACTATTTACCATCTCCCATGTACCATGCATAGGTAATATATGATAATAGGTGTCATATTGTAAATACGAATTGAACAGCCCTATGGAGTAGAAATGATTATAATATGAGAAGAAGTAGCTTGCCGGAGACTATACAATGAGAAATTGGAAAGTGATAAAGTCTGAACTAAGGTGCCCAGCTCACGTGATTAACCATCCTACACTGAGCATCCATGAACTTCATGCCCCAGCCCATACTGTGTCCAAAGTGTCTTTCCTTCAGCTTGTTTGCCTAGACAAATTCTATTATATCTTCAAGATTAATGCAGATTATTTCTAGGAGGTGTTCTTTCCCTAACCCCCACCTCTCCTATTTGTTCTGCCTCCTTTTCCCACCGATGGATTCTGTGAATGATATTGCTACTGTACACTGTTTTACACTGCATTGCACATTTTTACTTGTGGTTAACTCCAAGGACTTCTTCATCTCTCTAGGAGCCTAGCATAGAGACTAGTGTTACAGTCTGCAACCCATGATGAAATGTTGAAAGAAATCATCATGTAAAATCTCTACTATTTCAGGGGAAAAAATCCACAATATCTCCTATGAATTCTCAGAGTGAGGTGAGCAAAATAATTATTTGTGAATGAGTATTAATACTGAAGAAACAGAAAGAAGAAAGTTTGTTTCCATACACGGCAGGGCTGAGATGATGGCAGGATAGTCCATTTTTTGTTTTTCTCCTTCAGTTATGGTCTAGATAACAAATAAAATCGTCTTTCATGATGAAACATTTATAAGAATACCTATATTATATTTTGAAATGCTAAATTAAAAATGTTTTTACATTAACTGCCAAGGGAAATCACAACTAAGACTACCTACATTTTCTCAACTAAAAAATGAATCCTTTAAAAATACCAAACTACATTTTTATTAAGATGAATTAAAAATTTGAAACAAATATGTTACAATGAAATGTTTTTGAAAAGAAATAGGAGTGAATTCCATCCCTTTATGAATTAAGACTAATTATATCATGATGTCTTTAGCTATGACTATGAAAATCCTGGTCTGAATAAAACTAAAAAGACATCATTGAATATTACTTTTGACTTTTATTGTTAGAAAAATTCACTGGTGAATCATATTTCACTTTCTTATTCTAATTAACGACTTCAAACAGAGTCTGTATCAACACAAGTTAACAGAATAACTGGCAGAGAAAAGAAGACAACAGACATGTTTTCAATAGTTTGAAGATAAAGGGGAAAAGAAAGAGATTATATGGAATATGTATTAAGTGGTTCAAATGATAGAGATGTTGAAGTTAGAGATTTAATTTCTGTATCATCCCTTAATTCATGTGACAAGAGACAAGTTAAATACTAATAAATAAATACACATGCCACTGAGGAATACACAGTTTCCTCATTTGTTTAATATACTTTCCTCATGGATTTTTTCTGATGAATGCATAAGGATTAAAAAAAAAAAGAAAAAGAAACAGAAAAAAGGCCTGCACAGTGCCCGGAATCTGGAAGGAGTCCATAATGATCTCTTATACTAGGGCAATAAATGAGAGAAATTTTGTTTCGCTCCAATTTGTCAAAAGATGCATAAAGATAAACTCACCATTAAAGGTAATTTACTGTATTTGCTTTCTTTGGTGAATGTGTGGAGTTAAGAAAAATTGAAAAGAAGAACAAGAATTTACTTTGCCTAGATATTATCTTAAAAGAAGAAATTATAAATATGGAATAATTGCACAAACATGCCTTAGTGTATTTTTAACTGTACCATTCAGATGAGACCCTGGTCCTGTCACTGTCTCATCCGCACCAGGGGTTCCGGCTGCAGCACACCTCATGGGAGACCAGTTAATCAACAGCCACGTGTGAGGAACACACCCAGCTCCTCCTCGGTGGCGGTGGTGGTGGCTCTCAACAATACACAAATGCTATTTTTTTTTGGAAGGGCAACTGGTCTTTTTCAGAAAAAATAAAACTTCCTAAATAATGTGTCCATTTGTGAAAAAGAGAGGGACTGCTTCCAAGATTTAGCAATTTGGACATTTTCCCAAACTAGTGTAATGTGATTTTCCAAACATGGAAGGTTACAACCTCTCAGCCAGATGATCATTTTCCTTTTGGGATCCTGATTCTCATGTAAGAAATTAGCTTAGCCATAGAGAGACCTGGTGATTCAAGCATTGTTTACCATTAGTTACAGTTTCCTAAAGCTATATGGGGACAAGGCTTTTATTTTTAATTGCTTTATTTTACCACCCGTCTGGAATAATCAAGAGACACTGCTGAGTCCTGATTCTATAGATTTGAAATAGATCAGTTTACTCTGAACCTTCATCTGTGCCAGCCACTATATGCATCTCGGAGAATGATGATCTATATCATCTAATCCTAATGATATCTCCATGATGCTTCTATTATCATTAGTTCTAATTTACAGATGATGAAGGTCCTGAGGTCAACAATGGAACTGTGAGTCAGACTCACACATTCACAGGCCCAAACCGATGAACCTCTAGACTTCTACACTACACAGTGCTTCCCTTTTGGGATCAAAACGCTCCATTTCTGTAAATGATGTATTGTTTTTTGAAAAATTTTAAATGCCTCTGTCCCTTTGGCAGCAAGGCACCCCTACATATACAGCCCCATAACCAAGGCACAGGCCCTGGGTGGAAAACATTCTCTAAGTAAGCCATTAGCAACACCTCTGCTCACACTGTGCCACTGAACTGCATTTTAATAATCTCAGTTTAAATTCATTTTGACAAAGAGCCTTGGGCAAATAAACTCTGCACTGACATTGTACATGGTTGTCAAGTCAACTGAAAAAATATTTTTATCTTATAAAACTTCTCAACTTGTTTAAAAGTTCCTGCCAGGAAGTTTTGTGATATCCTGCGGAAAGCTGGAGAAGCACTTGGATTTTGAAGATGGTCCCTTTTGATGTCTAAAGTGTCAGAGAAGAGACGCCTGATGAATTCACTCACATTTTTTGCATAATTTGGAAAGGAACTGATTTGTAAACAGTAATATTTCAAAAGAGTAGAATTTTTGGGCTGGATACATCAGACATTTTCGTGACATAAATATTTCCCTCTAGGGCATATATTATGTGGAAAAATTAATAAAAGAAAGAAACAAACTATCACAGCATCTAACTGGAAGTGGATTACACTTCCATAAAATGACATTTAATTTTACATAATCAGTGGGTATATCTAATTTGATGTAATTCCACTGCTTGTGGAAAAAGTCAGTCATTATGAAACCTAAGACATTTTTGTATCTTCTTTTTCTTCTTTTTGTGTTTTAAATGACTTAAATTTGTGCAAAGCTGAAACATGTGCTTCTGTTGGTAAGTCAAAAGGCCATGTAGAGCAAGTCAGCAACAGGTAAAACATGAGAGGTTCAAAAAAAGGAAGGGGTACCAAGGAGATTTCTTTTAACTTTGCTGTACTATATATTACAGGTTTATCTAGCAATGCAACATAACACTTATGAAGAATCCATTTACTGTCCTGAGCTGTGG